TTCTCAGAAGAAAGAAAAAACATCAAATGTATTATTTACTCTTATGATCAGTCCTAACGAAAATAGTATGTTCTATTTTTAGACATGACCTAGATCTCGCATGTCACTTCTGTATGAGTTTGGCTGAGAGAGTAAAGCCTGAGAATACATGCTCTCGTGTTTTCTTTTAGATGAATGTGAAGATGTTAAATCCACAATCACAGTTAATTTTGTAGATGACACATTTCGGGTTGTTGTTTTGGACGATTGGATAAAGGCAATAAAGCAACCATTAGATTTAGGGGAGTGATATTGTTATTTGACACGTCAGAGTGACAAATCAAGATCGTTCCATTTTACAACATGACACAACTATATTTGAAATGTGGCCGGAAGCAGTCCAATTCATTCTGAGACATAACTGGTATGAATGAAAGTAACTGTTTCCTATAGTATACGCAATCTTTAAATAATATGTTATGTTTTACACATTTGCAGTTTCGGACCCAGTTCTACAAGTTGATCTGCGTAAGTCTTGTGAGTGAGACCTATGGTATTTGTGAAATGATTCATGTCAATTTTGAAACGTTTTATATGTGGTGATTCCAAGACATTCACTTCCAAAAATATGACGTTGATAAAAAATACCCGGACGGCATCCAGGCCAGAGACGTTCAGGATGCAAAATGGTAGAGTACCTGGAGTGCTTTCAGACCATTTCTGGTAAACAGAAACATGACTATTAATACTTTAACTTTATGCAGGGTTATGTCAATGTAATTTGTCATGTTTGTAGTAACGTTTATCTTGCTTACAGCTTTTCCATGTTGTGTAATGCTTTTGTATTATACGCAGACCTTTGAGTAATGAGAGTGATGGAGTTGCTCGTGTTTCGTAAGTGCTTACAGATGAAATTCTAATTATATTATAACTATGTCTTAGTTTCTAATATCTATTCTCCACTGAATTGAATTGTAAGCGAAGCTTAGACGTAAGTCATTCATTCTTCTGGAAATTCGTTAATCCGGGCAATATTTCCAGAACATGCAACTGTCCGGATAGCAAGGTTTAAGTGTACGAGATAACATTTTTGTTCAATGCTCAAAGCATTCTCATAAATGGTTACACGGATGTGACTCTTTAGAATCGTTTAATAGATCAAGCAGAAGGAATTTTGTTAATATTATTTCAACTTCACTTCTCAGAAGAAAGAAAAAACATCAAATTTATTATTTACTCTTATGATCAGTCCTAACGAAAATAGTATGTTCTATTTTTAGACATGACCTAGATCTCGCATGTCACTTCTGTATGAGTTTGGCTGAGAGAGTAAAGCCTGAGAATACATGCTCTCGTGTTTTCTTTTAGATGCATGTGAAGATGTTAAAATCCACAATCACAGTTAATTTTGTAGATGACACATTTCGGGTTGTTGTTTTGGACGGTGGATAAAGGCAATAAAAGCAACCATTAGATTTAGGGAGTGATGTTGTCATTTGACACGTCAGAGTGACAAATCAAGATCGTTCCATTTTACAACATGACACAACTATATTTGAAATGTGGCCAGAAGCAGTCCAATTCATTCTGAGACATAACTGGTATGAATGAAAGTAACTGTTTCCTATAGTATACGCAATCTATGAATAATATGTTATGTTTTACACATTTGCAGTTTCGGAACCAGTTCCGCTACCACAAGTTGATCTGCGTAAGTATTGTGAGTGAGACCTATGGTATTTGTGAAATGAGTCATGTCAATTTTGAAACGTTTTATATGTGGTGATTCCAAGACATTCACTTCCAAAAATATGACGTTGATAAAAAATACCCGGACGGCATCCAGGCCAGAAACATTCAGCATGCAAAATGGTAGAGTACCCGGAGTGCTTTCAGACCGTTTCTGGTAAACGGAAACATGACTGTTCAAGCTTTAACTTTATGCAGGGTTATGTCAATGTAAATTTATCATGTTTGTGGTAACGTTTATCTTGCTTACAGCTTTTCCATGTTGTGTAATGCTTTGTATTATAAAGACCTTTGAGTAATGAGAGTGATGGAGTTGCTCGTGTTTCGTAAGTGCTTACAGATGAAATTCTAATTATGTTATTATTATGTCTTAGTTTCTAATATCTATTCTCCACTGAATTGTGTAAGCGAAGCTTAGACGTAAGTCATTCATTCTTCTGGAAATTCGTTAATCCGGGCAATATTTGTGAACATGCAACTGTCCGGATAAGCAAGGTTTAAGTGTACGAGATAACATTTTTGTTTAATGCTCAAAGCATTCTCATAAATGGTTACACGGATGTGACTCTTTGGAATTGTTTAATAGATCAAGCAGAAGAAAGTTTGTTAATACTATTTCAACTTCACTTCTCAGAAGAAAGAAAAAACATCAAATTTATTATTTACTCTTATGATCAGTCCTAACGAAAATAGTATGTTCTATTTTTAGACATGACCTAGATCTCGCATGTCACTTTTGTATGAGTTTGGCTGAGAGAGAGAGTAAAGCCTGAGAATACATGCACTCGTGTTTTCTTTTAGATGAATGTGAAGATGTTAAATCCACAATCACAGTTAATTTTGTAGATGACACATTTCGGGGTTGTTGTTTTGGACGGTGGATAAAGGCAATAAAGCAACCATTAGATTTAGGGAGTGATATTGTTATTTGACACGTCAGAGTGACAAATCAAGATCGTTCCATTTTACAACATGACACAACTATATTTGAAATGTGGCCGGAAGCAGTCCAATTCATTCTGAGACATAACTGGTATGAATGAAAGTAACTGTTTCCTATAGTATACGCAATCTTTAAATAATATGTTATGTTTTACACATTTGCAGTTTCGGAACCAGTTCCACAAGTTGATCTGCGTCAGTATTGTGAGTGAGACCTATGGTATTTGTGAAATGATTCATGTCAATTTTGAAACGTTTTATATGTGGTGATTCCAAGACATTCACTTCCAAAAATATGACGTTGATAAAAAATACCCGGACGGCATCCAGGCCAGAGACGTTCAGGATGCAAAATGGTAGAGTACCTGGAGTGCTTTCAGACCATTTCTGGTAAACAGAAACATGACTATTAATACTTTAACTTTATGCAGGGTTATGTCAATGTAATTTGTCATGTTTGTAGTAACGTTTATCTTGCCCAGCTTTTCCATGTTGTGTAATGCTTTGTATTATAAACACCTTTGAGTAATGAGAGTGATGGAGTTGCTCGTGTTTCGTAAGTGCTTACAGATGAAATTCTAATTATATTATAACTATGTCTTAGTTTCTAATATCTATTCTCCACTGAATGTGTAAGCGAAGCTTAGACGTAAGTCATTCATTCTTCTGGAAATTCGTTAATCCGGGCAATATTTCCAGAACATGCAACTGTCCGGATAAGCAAGGTTTAAGTGTACGAGATAACATTTTTGTTTAATGCTCAAAGCATTCTCATAAATGGTTACACGGATGTGACTCTTTGGAATCGTTTAATAGATCAAGCAGAAGAAAGTTTGTTAATACTATTTCAACTTCAACTTCACTTCTCAGAAGAAAAGAAAAACATCAAATTTATTATTTACTCTTATGATCAGTCCTAACGAAAATAGTATGTTCTATTTTTTAGACATGACCTAGATCTCGCATGTCACTCTGTATGAGTTTGGCTGAGAGAGTAAAGCCTGAGAATACATGCTCTCGTGTTTTCTTTTAGATGAATGTGAAGATGTTAAATCCACAATCACAGTTAATTTTGTAGATGACACATTTCGGGTTGTTGTTTTGGACGGTGGATAAAGGCAATAAAGCAACCATTAGATTTAGGGTAGTGATATTGTTATTTGACACGTCAGAGTGACAAATCAAGATCGTTCCATTTTACAACATGACACAACTATATTTGAAATGTGGCCGGAAGCAGTCCAATTCATTCTGAGACATAACTGGTATGAATGAAAGTAACTGTTTCCTATAGTATACGCAATCTTTAAATAATATGTTATGTTTTACACATTTGCAGTTTCGGACCCAGTTCTACAAGTTGATCTGCGTCAGTCTTGTGAGTGAGACCTATGGTATTTGTGAAATGATTCATGTCAATTTTGAAACGTTTTATATGTGGTGATTCCAAGACATTCACTTCCAAAAATATGACGTTGATAAAAAATACCCGGACGGCATCCAGGCCAGAGACGTTCAGGATGCAAAATGGTAGAGTCCCTGGAGTGCTTTCAGACCATTTCTGGTAAACAGAAACATGACTATTAATACTTTAACTTTATGCAGGGTTATGTCAATGTAATTTGTCATGTTTGTAGTAACGTTTATCTTGCTTTACAGCTTTCTTCCATGTTGTGTAATGCTTTGTATTATAAAGACCTTTGAGTAATGAGAGTGATGGAGTTGCTCGTGTTTCGTAAGTGCTTACAGATGAAATTCTAATTATATTATAACTATGTCTTAGTTTCTAATATCTATTCTCCACTGAATTGTGTAAGCGAAGCTTAGACGTAAGTCATTCATTCTTCTGGAAATTCGTTAATCCGGGCAATATTTCAGAACATGCAACTGTCCGGATAAGCAAGGTTTAAGTGTACGAGATAACATTTTTGTTCAATGCTCAAAGCATTCTCATAAATGGTTACACGGATGTGACTCTTTAGAATCGTTTAATAGATCAAGCAGAAGGAATTTTTGTTAATATTATTTCAACTTCACTTCAAAGAAGAAAGAAAAACATAAAATGTATTATTTACTCTTATGATCAGTCCTAACGAAAATAGTATGTTCTATTTTTAGACATGACCTAGATCTCGCATGTCACTTCTGTATGAGTTTGGCTGAGAGAGTAAAGCCTGAGAATACATGCTCTCGTGTTTTCTTTTAGATGCATGTGAAGATGTTAAAATCCACAATCACAGTTAATTTTGTAGATGACACATTTCGGGTTGTTGTTTTGGACGGTGGATAAAGGCAATAAAGCAACCATTAGATTTAGGGGGAGTGATATTGTCATTTGACACGTCAGAGTGACAAATCAAGATCGTTCCATTTTACAACATGACACAACTATATTTGAAATGTGGCCGGAAGCAGACCAATTCATTCTGAGACATAACTGGTATGAATGAAAGTAACTGTTTCCTATAGTATACGCAATCTATAAATAATATGTTATGTTTTACACATTTGCAGTTTCGGACCCAGTTCCGCTACCACAAGTTGATCTGCGTAAGTATTGTGAGTGAGACCTATGGTATTTGTGAAATGAGTCATGTCAATTTTGAAACGTTTTATATGTGGTGATTCCAAGACATTCACTTCCAAAAATATGACGTTGATAAAAAATACCCGGACGGCATCCAGGCCAGAAACATTCAGCATGCAAAATGGTAGAGTACCCGGAGTGCTTTCAGACCGTTTCTGGTAAACGGAAACATGACTGTTCAAGCTTTAACTTTATGCAGGGTTATGTCAATGTAAATTTATCATGTTTGTGGTAACGTTTATCATGCTTACAGCTTTTCCATGTTGTGTAATGCTTTATATTATAAAGACCTTTGAGTAATGAGAGTGATGGAGTTGCTCGTGTTTCGTAAGTGCTTACAGATGAAATTCTAATTATATTATAACTATGTCTTAGTTTCTAATATCTATTCTCCACTGAATTGTGTAAGCGAAGCTTAGACGTAAGTCATTCATTCTTCTGGAAATTCGTTAATCCGGGCAATATTTCAGAACATGCAACTGTCCGGATAAGCAAGGTTTAAGTGTACGAGATAACATTTTTGTTTAATGCTCAAAATCATAAATGGATACACGGATGTGACTCTTTGGAATCGTTTAATAGATCATGATGAAAGTTTTGTTAATCTTATTTCAACTTCACTTCTCAGAAGAAAAAACAACCTGAAATGATTATTTACTCTTAGTGCGCTATTATCAGGTAAGCACTTTAAACAAATCCTATCAAATCAATCCAGATAACGTAAAACCAATAATAATAATAATTGTAAATATTGAATCTGATTAACACGGCAGATTTATTATTCGTTCCGAGTGGTTTGGCATATGTCATGTGACTAAATGGTTCTGGCAAAGCAGAACATGTAAAATTAGAGGCTGCTCATTTACATTATATGTAGTTTTGATATTTTGTTTATATTTTCCCCAGTTGACTGTAAAAGTTGCTTGGGTGTGCGTCATGATTGTGAATATGACCTGTCAACGTTGGAAAACGTATTCTTCATTCATTTGAACCATCATTTGACACCCATGTCTGAGAGCACTAGCAAGCTTCAATTCTCTAAGATACTGACTGCTATTGGAAATTCCCATGGTGGTGTTCTTATACTTCATGGGTTCAACATACCTCATTCCGTGGATTTTCATGAGTCCATTAATCGAATAATTGGTTCAATCCTCACGCAGGATATCGATCCATGTGAAGTATTTAAAACACAAAAGATCGGAAAGTATAAATATATGTTGAGAATAGACGTCGAGCCATCAGATATTTTTCTCACGCTTGATTACAAAACAAAGTTCCCGTCTTTGTCTGAGGACAAATTGAGAAATGCCTCAAACGAGAAAGTCCGGCGCCGCCTGTTTTCTTCGCGTATAACAGAGAGTTCAAATGCTGATTTGAGGGGTATTTTCTCCCAGCATCAAAATCGAGGAGCTTTGAGGTTGAACTGTCAGATAGACTATGCCGTGTCTCCTATGGCACGTGGGCTCTTACATGCCCTAGTGAGTGAGATGACTAGACTATCTGTCCCTGAACATGTATCAGCCCTCTCAAAGAAAAAGAACAGCGGAACAATACACGTTGTTTACTCCGAGCTCAAGTTTGATGAGATTCCTCTGGATCTACAAAAGCGTATAAAGGATCATCTGGTGCAAGCACTGATGGAGAAGTTCCGTTTTCAGAAAAACAAACATTCAAGGCATTCACTTCAAGCCTCTGATGTTTTTTACATAGCATTATCCAAAGATACGGAAACTGGAGGCTGCATTATAGAGATCGCTGTGGGACATGTCAATGGCTGTGTGTTCTACGACCCTGAAGGACCCGAATCATATACCATTGAAGGGGACAAATGTGTTCGACTGCCCTTTAGGAAATGGATTGAGGAAGCCTTTGAGTGAACGACAGTGAGGAATCGACGACCTAAAATAAGGCCAGAAATTATTGGAAAATGCTTTATGGTTTGATTATCAATATGATGAAATTGACACAAGATAAAAGCACATATATGATACATGTACGACTCTACCTAGTTGGATATTAAAGCTCAGGTGAAAAAATGCACTTGAGGGGTGACTTCACAGGAGGGATTTTTGACGTTTTAACAAAATTTGCAAATATTCTAAGTACAACTGTTGTTTTGAAATACAGACTATAATTATTCATATAGCCTCAACTAATAAAATTACATAAATGATTGTAAAACGTTTTGGGTTTTTTTTAACATCTATATGAGAAAATGATGGAACTCTTGTAGTAGTTATATTCAAAATAATTACGTAAAAGTCTTAATTCAAATCAAATAGATAGTCTTGTTTACCCATAGAAGTTTCACTTCATGTATGAGCATTGAACTGGCAACATGCGACTTAATATCCCTGCAGAACAATTAATTTCAAATTTATACCAGTATTTCATACTGGAGAAACAAAGGGAGAAACCCCTCGTCAGCAATGACAGGGTTAACTATAGAATGTGTAAAGCCCGTAATTTGACATATAGTCAGGTTTACGAAGTTGTAAACAAATCAGTTACCTCAGGGGTCGTGTCGAAATCAAAACCAGGTAGGAAACACATACTGGATAGCTTTGACAAGGGTGTCATATGCCGTGCAGTTTGTAACCTGTATGAACGCAAAATCCCACCGACGTGTGCTAAAATACAAGATGAGATCAAAGATACAATAAATGTCCTGTTGTAATTCCACTAGAGTCCTCCACCAGTAGTGATACTGACATGCACTGCCCGTGTGTTTACATAAATCTGTCACCCGGTATGCCTGCCAGGTGGGTCACAGTATAGTTTGTTTCTTAGAAGTGTTTCTACCATGGAATTTTTTCTAAGTTTTTCGATATTTTACGAGTAATCATTATGATTAGGGAATGGTACATCGTGATTACTCACATGCCATATTAGGTCGAGGTGGTATGAATGATTATATATGAGTTTTGAATCTGAAATATCAACCATTATTAAATAATGGCCAAAAAGCATTTTCAAAGCATTTCTGGCCTTACTTTAGTATTCTTATGAACCCGAGATTTTCGTTAAAGTGGATGTTTGAGGATTTTGTTCATTCGTTCAAGAAAGAAGATTCTGTCTAAAGTCTAGAGCAGTAAGTGTGTGTTATACACTCACTCACTGACTTACTCAAATATGGTTCCAAGAAATGTTTACAGCTACCCGATAATATCATCCATGACTGACCATTTCACGAGTGTGATGTCGTCCACGAAAACCAGAAAGTGTGATACAGAAATCATGTATGATGTACCAGTGCCTGAATCCTTAGCCAGAGTTGGACCTCAACACCTGTTCATTGTGAGAGCTGACTCAACTGAAGATCGGTTGGCCACAAAGTGTTACCTTGCTGATGGGGTAGCCTAGTGGTTAAAACGGAAACCCCGGGTTCGTTTCCTTACACGGGTACAATGTGAGAAGCCCATTTCAGGAAGTGTTGAAACTATGAATGCATTGTTAGTTATTTTTATATAGTGTAATCATTTTATACATAATAATGTGCGTTACATGTTCCACTATTTGATAGTCAGATGTACTCAATACTACCCCCAACACACTACAGAGTCAAGGAGGGTATACACATGAAAATGAATCTGACCATGTTGATTGTTACTATGTGTTTATTCTGAGTATCAAGCTGTCTTGGATGCCATCTTTGTTCTAGTTCAAGAAATATTATTCTTCTTTATTCAAAGGCCATTGGTTATATGTGTTCCAGCTATGAAAAGCTTCAAATGCTGTTTCTAATGTAATGAAGAGATTCGCTAAATATATTTTGCAAGCCTTTATGAAATGTTGTACTCATATGAAGGAAGTACTGATCCTATGAATATATGGTTAGTTGTATTATTTACGTAAAGTATAGTATGACCAGAAATTAATGAGAATTTTAGGAATATGATTTATTGGAATTCTAGTATAAACATCATTGACCAGCTATCAAGTGCTTGGTTTCATTCAAGAGAGATAACTCCGTTAATCCTTTTTCATTAGTTTGTGAAGAGTTATTTCCATTTGTTTACCTGCTAGCAGACAACGTTTTCAGTGATCCTCAGTACGGATGATTTAGAGAAGAGGAAGTTGATTATAGAGTATTATATCAAGGACATCAGATCAGCTAAAGCGATTTCAAGTAGAACAGGCATCCCTTTGTCCACTGTTTATCGTGTTTTGAAAAATATTGTGTAACCACTTTTTTAACAGCATAATGTTACATATTCCACAGGTGGATACTCTGCCTGTACTCAATACTACCCTAAAAAAACTACAAGCAAAAAATGTATACCCTTGAAAATTGGATTTCACCCCAAACTTGCATTTAATTTACTTTGCTCAAAACAGTCGCTGAAGCACTACAAATCTAAGGTCTAAATCTTAACTATGTTACCTGTCGAATAAACATTTTATAGCTGTTTGATTTGTAGCCACCATCATACCTGGGTGTATACGCCCTTTTGCCGGTAGTTTATATAATTGATTATTGTTTGTATGTACCCTGAGAATTATATTGTATTTTTCAACCATTTCACTAGCATATTGATGTGACTGAACATTTTATTTTAGTTTTCAATAATTTCACTACCATATTCATGTGACTGAACATTATATTTTATTTTCCCACCATTTCACTAGCATATTGATGTGACTGAACATTTTATTTTATTTTTCAATAATTTCACTAGCATATTGATGTGACTTAATATTATATCATTTCACTAGCATATTCATGTGACTGAGAATTCTATTTTATTTTTCAAAAATGTCACTAGCACATTTTTTTGACTGAACAGTCAGTTTTATTTTTCAATAATTTCACCAGCATATTCATGTGACTGAACATATATTTTCCAATCATTTTACTGGCATATCAATGTGACTGAACATTATATTTTGTTTTCCAATCATTTCACTAGCATATTCATGTAACTGAACATTTCTAATTTATTTTTCAATAATTTCTAGTCTAGCATATTCATGTAACTGAACATTTCTATTTTATTTTTCAATAATTTAACTTAGTCTAGCATATTCATGTGACTGAAGAATCTATTTATGTTTCAATAATTTCACTAGCATATTAATTTAACTGAAGATTCTATTTTATTTTTCAATAATTTCACTTAGTCTAGCATATTTATGTGACTGAACATTCTATTTTTCAATAATTTCACTTAGTCTAGCATATTTATGTGACTGAACATTCCATTTTTCAATAATTTCACTTAGTCTAGCATATTCATGTGACTGAAGAATCTACTTGTGTTTCAATTATTTCACTAGCATATTAATGTGACTGAGTTTTATATGTGACCATATTTTCTGCAACAGTAACATCACCATATGTCATGTACTCTAACTCTATTTCAACTGTAGTTGGTGTCATACGTTTAGTGTAAGCTGATAGTTTTAGAGGGTTGTTCTGTAGTTTAACTCTATTTGAGATTGTCAGTGAATAAATGGTTTCGCCTCATTTTCAGTGGATTGTTATCTGTCGATTTCCAAATGGAAACAAGAGTGATTGAATTTAGTTTTACGCCACTTCAGCAATATTCAAGCAATATCAAGGTGGGGGACCCAAGAAATGGGCTTCACACACTGTAACCACATGGGGAATCGAACCCGGGTCTTCGGCGTGATGAGCGAACGCTTTAACCACTAGGCTACCCCACCGCCCCTGTTGAAACCAGAAGATAACCAAAACATCTGTACGTGTTAAAGAAATGTTATCTATTTGCTGTTTGTAAAATGTACTAAATACAAATCAGTACAAGTTACGGCATAACATGGGCACTACACATTGGACGGCAAGTAAACACGTCAATGGGATTATAGGCAGTATAGATTTAGGTGTTGTAGCAGCAATAAGGCCAGTGATAACATTCACCTTGCAGTAGCTGTGGTCAAGCGTCCAATTTGGCCTAGGTTGGATATCCAGGTGTGTTCACAGGGCAGGATTAATCTTAGCTTCTGAATCACGATTGACACACACCCCTACCCCACCCCCAGAGCATCTAAATTTGGCGACTTCCACATCGTTGCTCACCTTAAACAGTAATACATTCCTGACAAGTAGTGACAACTCATGTTAAAACACAGTGTTATGAAATTCCACTGAAACAATATAGTACAATTTACTGTAGTCTACACATCTGTTTTTCTTCATCTCAGGTCATGTCACGTCATTTTTTTTGCATTTGATCTCATTCCATTTCTACAATTTATTACAATCTCATCTCTTTTATTCATTTAAAATAATCTCATTAATCCGTTTCAATTACTATCTCTAATTCTTTTATGTACTTGATTTCATTTCTACAATTAATTTCAATTTTACAAGTCATTTCTTTTTTTATTTAATTTTTTCATTTCGTTTTCGGGGCGGTGGGGTAGCCTAGTGGTTAAAGCGTTGGCTCGGCACACCGAAGACCCGGGTTCGAATCCCGACATGGGTACAATGTGTGAAGCCCATTTCTGGTGTCTCCCGTCGTGATGTTGCTGGAATATTGCTAAAAGCGGCGTAAAACTAAACTTAGTCAGTCAGTCAGTCATTTCGTTTTCTTTCTTTTGCCTCCTTTTTATTTGTTTCCATTTCATTTCATCTCATCTCTCTTCAATCCATTACAATTCATCTCCTTCAGTCATTTCATTTCATCTCATTCAATTTAAATTATCTAATTAAATTCCATCAATTTCAATTAATTTCAATTCATTCAATCCTTCTAGTCAATTAATTCGATTCATTTTATTCCTGGTTGGTTGATAAACGCCGCACTTAGCACTTAGCAATATAGATCAATAAAAGCAGAATTCCTTTTTCTCCAACATGTTTCGTTCTTTACTCTTCAGGGAGATCGTAGCGGTTACAGTATGACGTCATTAAATATATATTGTGACGTCACAATAGGGACTACATTCTAGAGCGACAAGGTCACAGCTTGCAATGGTTTAACATTGGTTTGAACTTGTCTATGAAGTAGTGTTCTTTTAAAATTCGTTTTACTTTGTCCGAATTTTGAACAGTGTGCAATAATCGTAACGAGTGCGTGAAAGTGCGACAAAGGATTTCCACCATTGCGGCCTATGGAGGTGCTGCATAGCGTTCATGTTAGTGAACGCTATATCTTAGCTTTTACATATACATGTCATTGCGAAATTCACGAATGATAAATTCAGTGCTAAATGAATTATAAGTGACAATCCGAGCCACCAGTTGAACTTTTTTTACAGAAGAAATTCAAAGAAGTTTACAAAGTGTAAGGGTACAGCCTATGCAAAATGACTTGTATCTGGTATATGTTATTGAAGATCAATTCTGTATTTTGACTATGTATCTTAGAATCTGGATGATGTTTAACGATATGTCAACCTATCTAAATCAAACTGGCCTCGTCTTTGGACACAACATCATCGTAACAGTGTCATTTTCACTAACAGTCCAACAAGTATCTTTATATATTTACTACATAAATCTTTTTCTTGTCTTTGGAGTTTATACGAATCGTGCACAAAATACCACAACTTAGAAATGTCCTCTCCAAACCACATCACATTAATGAATAAATAAGAGATTGTTTTACAATAATTTTTTTCTTCACATAAAATGGTATATCCCAGCCTATTCTGCGCATCTCCCTTACTTTATACCTAAAGAGCCGAGTTTGGGCAAAATACGAAAACCTAACCACAATATCAGCTCAATGAAACATTAACATATATTCCAAAGAAGAAACGCATAACCCAGAAATCTGTTGCGAAAATATTGTATTTTCCACAAACAGACTTTAGTACATGTAGTTTTACATCAGTTTAGAAGAAGGAAATGTCTTTTCAACCAAGTGGATAATTGTAGATAACGGAGACGTTGAGCGCGATGGTGACTACTTAACATGGTCCCGACGTCGGGTCTCCTGGCTCTCAGTCCAATCTATCTCAACCTGTTCCGTACCGGTTGACCGGATATCCTCCGAAGTCCAGGCACGCTGGCTGCTGTGCTCTCACCCGTGGCAGTACGATCACGCAAATGTAGTACCCATCTTCGGTTGCAGTGGTGACTCGAGGTCTGCCTGTACAGGGACGGTCATTTGTAATGCCTGTATGGTTGTAACGAGCTGCAAACGGTGATATCGTGCTCAGACTAACATTGAGACGCCTGGCAACAGAAGATTGGTAAGCTCCATAGTGAATTCCATTATCTCCTCACAGAGGTTACTTACAAGTAATATCTTCCTACGAACCTCTGTTCTAAAACGGCCCTTTCATGGTGCGAGTGTTCGGGATTCGTGATTGGTTGCAATCAGATTTAGTTGTGCAATCAGCGACGTTGTTTCAGAAGTGATCATTCGCAAGGCCTCGGTAATGTCCGTATGCTTCGGGTAAACTATAACATCTTCCCCTGCGAGATGCGCAAACGTCTAGACCGAACTCACAAACCGAAACATGAGTCTTATTAACCTATTCAGACAATGACCTACTTTTCAGCCGATCCGAATTTTCTTGTGTGAAAGTGAAAATACACATCACAAACAACTATGGTTACACTAATTTCCAATTCCTTGCTTCATAAGAAAATGGTATTTACAACTGAATTTTAATTTTAAACTTTAAGAACATCGTATTTCTATATTTTATGGCGAGGTGTAGGCAGCATGACCTTAACTTGGACGTCACAGACTGCCCCTGTTTGATGAGGTCTTAAAATGATTCATAATGCATCTGGCTCACTGGTTACACGTGTTATGATTTTTTGTTGCGTTTATTCAGTGTAGTTCAGTAACGCACAATGTGTTTGAAAAAATATCAAATCCGTACCAAACATTTCTAGCGGCAGAGCCTCGTTTTGAGATTTCCACGATTTCCAGGTTTCTGTTCATCAGTGCTCGCTGTACGACAGAGCACGATGCACATGTTTGCAAGGCTTATAAGGAGCGTAGTGTTGCAATATACAAGTGCTTAGATGTATCAGATAATACTGATTAATATTTATGTATCCGGTTAAATGAATTGGTCTGAGAATTCTGGACTGGTTATTGTACTTCAACAGGACTCGAGACTGTTGTGCAATCGATGTTTTGACTTGTCATGTAATGCCGGATCAATGGCTTTTCCATCGCCCTCGTTGACTGACTGACTGACTGACTGAGTTTAGTTTTACGCCGCTTTTAGCAATATTCCAGCAATATCACGGCGGGGGGACACCAGAAATGGGCTTAACACATTGTGCCCATGTGTCGCCCTCGTTGACAACGGACAAGGTTGTCATTAAATGTCTTGTGTGTCACATCAACAAGGATATTTGTGGCCCCATTTTCACTTGCATAAGTCAAGTTGGATCTAAGTCGATGTATCATGTCGATGTTCTGATTGGATAGAAAGAAGGGAGATAAGTCGTGTTGCGATTTTTTGCCGCTAGGGGATTTTACGGGAACCGGGAAATATGGCCGTATTAGAACAGAGGTTCGTAGGAAGATAAGTAATCTCTGTGGAAAGAGAGTGGGTAAATTCTTTCAATGGATGTTCCGTTTCGCAGCGTCAAGACGTGGTGTAGTGATTTGACCTTGAAACCCCTTCAAAACGAATGCCGATTTCCGAAAGTAATCTGGATTTTTATAGCCAGACAGTGCATGCTCTTTGCTGCACAATTTCAACTGGAAGGTGATTTCTGTTGCGTTGTGGAGATGCCTTTTTGATCTTTGTGAGAAATTTCATCAAAATCAACATTTTCAGGTAAAGTCAGTTTTTTAACTTGTGCAATTGTGTAAAATCGTGTTATCAACACTTTTGTTACATATTTTGATGATTGTTTGAACACAATAGGTAATTAATAGATTTTTTAAAATACAAAATGCATATGCGTTTCTTTTTCTTGGTTAGTATACATACAGACAATGCTGAAACAGTTGACTTTAATTACAAAGTGAGTATTTATATGTACTACAATAACCTTAATGCATTATCATTATTATTAAACACTTATCATATATATTATGTTTCCTATTCTGTGCCTAGTCGATACATGGCTGATATACCGCCGATGCGACATTAATCTTTAACTCTAACACTGAGCATGAATTTAGATAATACAGAAACGTGATGAGCAAGCAAATCACTGACACGTTGACTGCTGACTATTAGGCTTTTGCCGGTACTGACGAGGTCTTTACATCAACCGTATTCTGATGTGAAACAGAAGACTGAACAATGGACTTGCTTGCCGCGCCAAATGACATCCAGATCAAAATGAACAGATTGGTTGATTAGCTTGTTGTAGGGTTTTTATTTTCTCAACTTCCACCAACGGTGGTACATGAGTGAACTGGAAAAAAACGTTATATACACATATACACCAAGATGGCATCGGAGAGATATAATTGAGGGAGGATAATGTACAATACAATATACATGTACATACATATTCATATATACAAGTGTGTCATTAGAGAATGTAAACGCCGCACTCAGCAATATTCCAGCTATATGCGGCGGTCTGTAAATAATCGAGTCTGGACCAGACAAGCAAGTGATCAACAGCATGATCTACACAATTGGGATACGATGACACGTGTCAACCAAGTCAGCGAGCCTGACCACCTGGTCCCGTTAGTTGCCTCTTACGACAAGCATGGGTTACTGAAGACCAGTTCAAACCCGGATCTCTACGGGTCACGCTGAAACAATTCTGACCTATGGGTGTACACAAACGCGTTTCCCCTGATCCACGTGTGAAATTTGATTGATAGTAAACACGGATGTAACGGATGGCGTACATAAAACAAACCAATCGGCAAGCCCTCGACGCGCAACGGGCGTTTTATGCACTAGTACCTTACCAAATAGTGTTAATCTTACGGACTTTTAATGAACGTGATAAACAGGTCATCGGGGATACCACCACAGCACCATCACAGAACAGCTCAGTCAAAAACTAGATTATCACAGGAATACATTTAAGACTAGTAATTATATCTAAAATATTTTACCTATAAATGACAATACAATATAAAAACAGGCTATAGATTGCCAACAGCTGAAGGTAGATGACTATACTAAGGACCATGGGGACTTACAGTACATTCGCTTCCTGCATCGGCCCTAGCTGGATTCACATCATCCCTTCAGCTGTTAGATACATCTAGCCATACATTAAAAATACACATATTTTACGATATAAAAAAATGGAAAGTTTAAATTTACTGTGAATGTTTTGGGACTTACGTACCCTCTCAGGAGGACAATATTTTTGCAGTACTTTAACCCCTCGAGGATACAGCCACTAACATACAGTTACTAATTCAAACTTCCAATCATAAAATATTTATCTATTTACAAATCATTTAATCAATCTATTTCTTTTTAAAATGCCATAATTAAATGAGAGCTGCTATTATCAAAAAGATCCTTCACAGGTCGTGATTTAAAGTAGTTATCCCTTGTGATGGCTTGACTGTGATTCTTTCATCACAAGGTATGCAAAACGGAGGATCCTCACCTTTTAATAGGTATTCATGAACATATGGTGTGTGGCCAATACGACATCGTCGCATGATGACCTCTTCAGTCTGGACTGACAACCCAAGTAGGTATAGCCAATAGAAGGGTTTATTGCATGTAATTTATTGATACCTTCTTGGATGTCCCACTTCTTTTGCATCAGATCACGGATATAAGATCTAATTATAATCAGTGTATGGAATAAGAAGTGCTGTCACAGATTTGTTGAGTGCTGCCTTGGCAGCAAGATCAGCCATTGTGTTCCCGGAAATGCCAACGTGGCTGGGTAACCAACTAAAGACGATGTCGTATTTGCCAGTAGCAAGATCATTATATAGTTCAATAATTCTATTAAAAGTTGATGTTTACACGATACGTTTTTTAATGGCCTGAAGGCAAGAAAGAGAGTCTGAATAAATTATATATTGTTTATGTTTAGGGTGTCTTTGAATATATTTAAGAGCCGTTAATATGGCGTTTGCTTCTGCTGTAAAAATAGAGCTGTTATCCGGTATTCTAAAAGATATTGTTCTGGATCCAATGACAGCGGCACAAGCTACTGCGCCGCCATCCTTGAACCCATCTGTAAATAAGGATTTGTAATTACTATATTTCCTTTTTCATTGATTATATTCTTGTTTATATTGTAATTCATTACTTCCTGATTTTATTAATGTAGTTAATGTTAGGTCGACTTGTGGCCTAACCAATTGCCAAGGAGGAGAAAAAAGAAGACGGGGAGGAGATATATTCACCAGCTCAATGCCGGGCAGCAATAATGAATGGCTTAATTCTGAGCCCAAGAGGCGGAACAAGAGAAGATGTCTTGTACAAAATCCCCATAGAGAGGATTAAAGACACAGTTAAAAGCAGGATTAGACTCGTTAGAGTATAGTTTGGTAATATATTGTAGTTTTATATGGCGTTGAGTAAGAGATGGCTCATCTGCCTCAACATAGAGACGTCAACAGGAGAAGTTCTAAAAGACCCAAGACAGAGTCTTAGGCCTTGGTGGTGGACAGAATCAAGAAGTTGTAGGTTGCTTTTGCAGGCCCCACCATAGACGATGGAGCCATAATCATACAGTTGGAAGATTTGTATTAAGAGGGACATGGCTATGTATTATACCCTGTCGTACCAAAATGGACTCACCTCCTGTTGCTTTATCTCCTATAGGAGAAAAAGAGTGATAATCACTGTACTGTCGTAGATTAAAGTTATCTGTATTTTGAGATATGTCTCTTGTACACATATGCTGACGGTTTAAAGTCTTGTATTAATAATTGTTTGTCATTAAAGTTATTTCTTAGTCCTCTGCAATTTCATTGAATTAAAGTCGGCAATTGAGTCATGGTGGTTCAATTGGCGATTGTTGACGGGAGTGTGAGGGGGAACTGTTCCTTCGCATGTCCTTTGAGGACAGAGTAACCTCCATATCTAGAAGTCCAAATGCATTCTGAGTTGGAACCACTAAAGGTAAAGGGACAGAAGGTGGTTTGTTTTTGTTAATTGTTTTCCTTTCTCTTTTATTTAAGTTGGTCGCTGGCTGGTTTTGAAATAGACTTTTGAGATGGGATCACGGAATCAATTTCATCTGTCTGGGAACCAGCTGCAGACGTAGATTGAGTGACTGGGGTAGTTGGTGTCATGGCTGACGTTGATGAAAAAGGTTGAGCTGACGACCCAAGTCAAGTCAGTCTGACATGCATTAGAGGACATTTCTGCAGAGCGGGTGACTGCATCGGAATATGTGATAGTCAACGGAGTTAAAGTCTGATTCGTGAATAGCTTTTTGGCATCGAGATAAGAAATGTGGTTTTTTTTCAGATTCCTTTTTCATGATTTGAGATTCCCTTTGAAACATAGGGCAGGACTTGGGTGACGCAGAATGTGGAGCGTCACAGTTGACACTTTTGTAATCATTCTGACAGTCGGTGTGATGAAAGGATCACAGTCAAGCATGTCCTGCTTGACTGTGTTGAATATTCCATCACAAAGGATAAGTATTTCAAGGTCAAAACATTGAAGGATCTTTTTAATAATGTCAGTTCTCATTTAATTATTGCATTTTTAAAGGAATTAGATTTGTTAAGTGATTTGTAAATAGATATTTGTTTTATTATTGGTAGTTTGAATTAGTTACTGAGATTGTTAGTGGCTGTACCCTCAAAGGGGCTTGACGTAGCGTAAAATTATTGTCCTCCTGCGAGGGTATGTAAGTCCCAAAACATTTGAAGTCAATTTAAGTGTTCCAGGTTTTTAATCGTAGTATTGTTGTGTTTTTAATGTATGGCTTAATGTCAGCATCGACGCCAATGTCTGAAGGGATGGTGTAAATCCAGCTAGGGTCCATGCAGGTAGCAAAAGTACTGTAAGTCCCCATGGCCCCTAGTATGGTGATCTCCCTTCAGTTGTTGGCGATCTCTAGCCACTTTTTCATATTGTTTTGTCCAATAAGTGCTATTTTTTTTAACTTTCTACGCTAGTTTTACTTCAAATTGTGATATTCTAGTTGTTTTACTGTCCTTCGTCGGCAGAATTTTATAATTTACCTTAAATTGTTGATATATTTATAACTTGCTTTAGTCACGATATGGCTGAAATATTGCCGATGTGACTTAAAATCTTAACTCACTCACTCACTCTGACAGTCGGTATTCCCATGATGTTCACCACAACGGTGACACACCACAGAGTTTCGACAAGACTGCGCTCCATGACCAAAATGTTGACATTTGTAACATCGGAGCGGATTGGGGACATACACATCCACATGCGATGTTAAAATAGCCTGCCTTAATTGTTTGTGGAATGGAAGATCGACAAAACGTCACCAGATGGGTGTACGTTTTAGTGATGATGCCCTCTTTCCTGCTGTGACACCCTGACTTTCAAGCTCTCCAGCTATGTCCTCTTCTGACATATTCTCAAGGCAACGTGTTCTGTCGCGGATGATGCCACGACAAGAGTTTAGTGTCCTGTGCACAGACACAGCAACCTCTATATTTGCATATGTCTTGGTCGACAACAGATTAAGAGATTGCTGCCTCCGTGCACACACCACGAGAAGCGAGCCACTATGGAGACGGGTAACATTTTTCACCTCTCCACAAATTCCGGAAATAGCCTTTGAGATGACAATCGGGTATAATTTGATTGGTAGAAAGTCTGTAGCTTCAATCACGATAAACCGTGGCCATGAATCAACGTTGGAAGAATTTTTATCATTTGAAAGATCTATTTCATCTAGTCTTCTCCTTTTTTTCATAATGAGTTGAACCAGCGTGTTGGGTTAGCATGGTGAAAGGAAAAGGATTCGACACCCCTGCTCCCCACCCACCATGGAGTGTCAACCAGTCCTCTTCACGATGTATACCAAATCCTTGGGTCACCTTATAGTACAGTACCGGGTCATTAGTCACTTCTATGCTGATGATTCGCAATTACTTGATAAATAGGATCTGTCAGAGACTAACCAAGCCTCCACCATACACAACTTGGAGCTTTGCCTCAGTGACGTCAAGTCCTGGATGACAGCAAATATGCTGAAAATGAATGACAGTAAAACAGAGGCAATACTGTTTGGTCCACCTGCTAGGTTGAAAAAGTGTCCCTTTCATCATCTTCAGATTGGGGACTCTTCGATCCCTTTCTCCACTGTTGTGAAAAATCTGGGAGTCTACTTGGATAGCAGTCTCTCCATGGAAACTCATATAAATCAGCTGTGCAAAACTATTCACTATCACCTCTGTAACATATCCAGCATTCGCCACCTACTGACCCAAGACACCACCGCTCTGCTTGTTCGCTCCCTCATTCTGTCAAGACTGGACTGTTGCAACAGTCTGCTCACACGTGCCTCCAAAACCCAGATAAAGCGCCTACAATCTCTCCAAAGTAAAGCTGCTCGTCTTGTTCCCCGTTCCAAGCCGTCCTGTGACGTACAGTTCATTTCGGATTCCTTACACTGATTACGGATCCATGAAAGAATTGATTTCAAGGTACTCACTCTCGCTTACCAGTGTGTTAACTCCACGGCTCCCTCATACTTGTGTGATCTTCTCACATCATACACTCCTGCACGTGCCCCCAGATCCAGTAACCAACACCTGCTGGATCTTCCATCATTCAACCTCAAGACATTTGGTGCCCGTTCTTTTGCTTCAGTTGCAACCGCACTATGGAACTTACTTCCACTTAAATTACGTACAGCTTTAAGAGTTCAAGCGTAACCTCAAAACACACCTTTTCAGTCGATACAAACAGTAACTCTCTCCAAGCTCATATTTACACTATCTTCTACAATACTGATTCATGTAACTTTTGATGTGTTTGTTTTTTAAACATTTGTGCGCGCTTTGAGCATGCCCCTTTGTGGTGTGAAGTATTGCGCAATATAAGTACTCTTATTATTATTATAACAAGGAGAGTGTCAAATAGCATCGGATATCCAAGATGCTGAGACCAGGGATACAGGGGTGTTATACTCCGGGGGAATAGGACACAAATAGCTGTATTTACCTACAAATTTTATGCCAGACTGGATCGGCCCAAGACAAGAAATTGGAGATATACATTATTTAGAGGTCAACATCACCAGATTGGCCCATGAGCCACCGCCTTCTGGCACAGGACTCGCAATATATTATCATGAACAATTGGAATTTAGAAAAGCCAAGACCAAATAGGATATCAAATATGTGCAATAATATTCACCATGCACAGGGCTCGACATGACCAGCCGATTGATTGAACCGGGCCATTTCAACCAACCGTCTAGGTGAAGTAAGGGCCAAAGTAGTGTGTTGGGCAATAGAAACACGGTTCCAGGCTCCTGTGCCCTCAACCACCAGAATCCCGTCCTCCACCGACACAGGGAGCAACCCACGGCAAACAGGTTGCCCAATTCGGCCTAAGGCCAGAATTGGGGTGCTGTGGACCAAATATGCCCCCGGGTCCACACTGGGGGTTGAAGAGCTCTTAGCGTTACCGAGTACCCACCACAAGGAGGTGGCTCTTCACGGGTGCCCAGAAAAGTATGACTTCGATGTCAATAATAGTGTTGGGTAATGTAACATCCACGCCACTCTATTCCGCTCCTGTCCGCTCCCCAATACTATACTCCACTTCATTCTTCTCCGCTCCACTCCACTCCAGTCCACTCAACACAACTCCACTCCACACTCTCTATTCCCCTCGATTATACTCTGCTACAGTACTCTCCGCTCCCCTCCATCCTACTCCACTCAACTCCGCTCTTCTTCACTCCACTTCACTCCGCTCCTCTCAACTCCCATCCAATTCACTGTACTGTACTTATCTCAGCTCCATTCAGCTCCACTATACTCCACTTAAAGATTTCTCTACCTCAGTCTGGTGTCAATCGAATGGCACTACGTACATTCCTATACCACTTATTTTATATACAATGACTTCTGTTCATGCCCTGAAATGCCCTACAAGTGAGTGAATTTAGTTTTACGCCGCACTCAGCAATATTCCAGCTATATGGCGGCGGTCTGGAGTCGAGTCTGGACCAGACAATCCAGTGATCAACAGCATGGACATCGCAATTGGGATACGATGACACGTGTCAACCAAGTCAGCGCGCCTGACCACCCGACACCTATACAATACAAGTGACCTGTTGACTGAATATTATCATTACGCCTGTATACTGCATGTACCTTAGTGACACAATAACATGATTTGATATAAATTGTATTACCATATAATCACTGACATCATCAATAATATTGAACATATTTCACCTGAGTTAAAGCTACATACTTTAGGTGAAATAGCACGAAATCTCAGTATGTATATGAACAATTCATTGACATATTCTAAATAAAACAAACCTTACATAATATTATAATACTGACACTAGTTGAATGTAAAGGAAAACGAGCCAACTCGACACGCACACACACTTTCCAGTTGGTTGCAATCTCTCACCCTTCCAATCAGATCTGATATACCCCCAAGCTACATTACCGACTTGATTGACCCCCGAGTTTACGCCCCATATACATACAATGGTCTCTCATACTACACACCTCCCACACAGACAATCGTTCACTGCTTACAGCCCCGCTCTAGTTCGCACGTCCCCACTCCAAACCTATTACACTACAAACATAAACAAAACATGCATTATACTAATTGTGATCCTGACACTCTTGCAAAAAGACGCCATTTTGAGCAACTATGTCTTCTCAACTTAATGATAATTGTATGTATATAACAATTGTTTTAAAAAACCAGAAGGGCATTGTTGTGTATTCTGTTACTCGTAACTCCTACATACTTTCAAGGAATACTATAACAAATAGACTTGAAACATATATTGTTAACTTTTAATTCATTATAATTTGGAATATTATTTTCAACATTAGACGAGGTGTTGATGACAAGGGCCAGTGGGGTAAGCTAGTGGTTAAAGAGTTTGCTCGTCACGCCGATGACCCGGTTCGATTCCCCACATGAGTACAATGTGTTGAGCCCATTTCTGGTGTCCCCCGCCGTGATCTTGCTGGAATATTGATAAAAGCGACGTAAAACAAAACTCACTCACTGTTGATGACAAAACAGAACCCTAAAATGTAGGGGTGTTTGCAGATAGCTCACATTACGTAACTCACTTTAAAATTAGTTTCGATAACGGGCCATGGTCGTGTGTGGACACGTGACAGTAACCAGGCAACCAACAAAGATCAGCTTGTTGTAATAGCTCGTCTCATTACACCAGTCACGTATACCCCGACGTTCGCCTTACGTCGTTACCATAAAATGTCACAAATGTCATAAAAGCAACACCTAGACACACCGTACAACAGTTGGCTGGATTATTTGCAGAAGCGCACAAGTAATAAATCTATCTATCTATCTATCTATCTATCTACCTGTCCATGGTGACGTCTATCTATCTGTCTGCCTGTCAAATGATATATCTATTATGTAAAAAATGTATAACGGTATAAAATGTGAATCAAGTGAATAGGCTTTGTTTAATATCATTTTGAGCAGTATTTCAACCCAAACACTCAATGTCAGAGGTAAGACAAACGTTTGACACCAGGTGATCACAAACGACACGCCACAATCAGGGAGAATCTGACATCAGAACCCACAAACTGCCAAGCCATTTATGCTCCGTTCAACATTCTAAATAAGGAAAACTGAGGATAAACAGGTCACAGTGACATTATTCTCCAATTCAAAAGACTACGCACATGATCGTGTTTAACAGTATGCCGATCGGTATCACTGATTATTTCTTTGTGGACGTGGTCGTAGTTAAAGCTTCGAATTACCCCGTTTCGTTGGTGACGGCCTTGGTGACTACAGTAATACATAAACACTCAACCACGAGAACCAGTTACTCTGATGTTGTGACAGGTATCTACAATGTCGGCACCGACAGCACGTGAGTTTCCAATAGTAAATATCATTTGTTTGTTCTGTATTTTATCTTATTTATTTGTTCTGATATTTCATCCTATTTGTTTCTTCTGATATTTCATCCTATTTGTTTCTTCTGATATTTTATCCTGTTTGTTTGTTCTGTATTTTATGCTTTTTGTTTGTTCTGCTATTTTATCCTATTTGTTTGTTCTGATATTTTATCCTATTGGTTTGTTCTGATATTTCATCCTATTTGTTTGTTTTGTATTTTATCCTGTTGTTTGTTTGTGCTGGTACTTCATCATATTTGTTTGTGCTGGTATTTATCCTACTTGTTTGTTCTGATATTTCATCCTATTTGTTTCTTCTGATATTTCATCCTATTTGTTTCTTCTGATATTTTATCCTGTTTGTTTGTTCTGTATTTTATGCTTTTTGTTTGTTCTGCTATTTTATCCTATTTGTTTGTTCTGATATTTTATCCTATTGGTTTGTTCTGATATTTCATCCTATTTGTTTGTTTTGTATTTTATCCTGTTGTTTGTTTGTGCTGGTACTTCATCATATTTGTTTGTGCTGGTATTTTATCCTACTTGTTTGTTCTGGTATTTTTTCCTTTTCACAATGTATGTCCATAGAGCTTCAAAGAGTGTTACACATAGCATTGATAACGTCATGTGTATATTCCAAATACAGTTCTTCAAACCGATATGTGACCTTTTTAATAAATAATATTTCACTTGACAGTTGAACTACACAGCAAATTAACTGTTACATGAAAGGGGTTTTTTTTAAATTGGCATTGGTGCGCGGGCCATTTCTCACTTAACTTTCTAAACCACAGATAGATACTCATATATAGAAAACAAATATCGAAACATTATATTGTTCATAGTAACCATTAACCAATCAAATCCAATCCTCAATTTAAGTTACTGACTGACTGACAGTACGGTTTTACGCCGTTTTTAGCAATATTCAAGCAATATCACGGCGGGGGACACCAGTAATAGGCTTCAAAATTGTACCCATGTGGGGAATCGAACCGGGCCTTCGTCGTCACGAGAAAACGCTTTAACCACAAGGCTACCCCACCGCCCCATTTAACAGGATCAACTGACCCTCAAGGATTAATTTTTGGTTTGGTTTGGTTGTTGTTTAACGCCGCACTCGGCAATATTCCAGCTATGTGGTGGCGGTCTGTAAATAATCGAGTCTGGACCAGGCAATCCAGTGATCGACAGCATGAGCATCGATCTGCGCAATGGAACCGATGACATGTGTCAACCAAGTCAGCGAGTCTCACCACCCGATCCCGTTAGTCGCCTCTTACGACAAGCATGGGTTACTGAAGATCAATATTCGAACCCGGACCTTCATGGGTATGAAAATGAGTGGTGTTGCTTTACTTTTTCCCATGTGCATACTTATAATACGAAACGCATTGAATCTTTACATTTCCATGATATCATTGCTAATCACAACACACCTTCATTTCTGGAAAACAGCCAAATATTAGATTTCCGAAGTTGACACTTGATTTGAGATAACATCCGTTTGGTATAATACCTGGATTCCGGAATCAAAAAGAGGTTCTTGTTTACAACTTTTACAATTGGTGAGAA